AACTCGTCTCCATGAAGCTCCGGAGGCTGGGGAAAAGGTGGATAGAGGTGGGTGGAGGAGTGGAGGTTAATTGTCATTGGTGGGCGGGGCCTGACCAAAGTGGGCGGAGTTTGCGACGAAAATTTATAACTCGGCTCCATGAAGCTCCGGAGGCTGGGGAAAAGGTGGATAGAGGTGGGTGGAGGAGTGGAGGGTTAATTGTCATTGGTGGGCGGGGCCTGACCAAAGTGGGCGGAGTTTGCGACGAAAATTTATAACTCGGCTCCATGAAGCTCCGGAGGCTGGGGAAAAGGTGGATAGAGGTGGGTGGAGGAGTGGAGGTTAATTGTCATTGGTGGGCGGGGCCTGACCAAAGTGGGCGGAGTTTGCGACGAAAATTTATAACTCGGCTCCATGAAGCTCCGGAGGCTGGGGAAAAGGTGGATAGAGGTGGGTGGAGGAGTGGAGGTTAATTGTCATCGGTGGGCGGAGCTTGACCAAAGTGGGTGGAGTTTGCGACGAAAATTCAGAACTCTGTTCCAGAAGGTCCCGGAGAGTGGGGAAAAAAGAAGATATAGTTGGGTGGGAAAGTGGAGGTCAAAGGCCAGTGGTAGGCGGGGCTTGGCCAAAGTGGGCGGAGTTTGCGACGAAAATTCATGACTTGGCTCCAAGAAGTCCCTGAGGCCGCGGAAAAGGTGGATGGAGGTGGGTGGAGGAGTGGAGGCCAGCTGTCAATGGTGGGAGGGACATGACCAAAGTGGGCGGAGTTTGCGACGAAAATTCATAACTCGGCCCCAAGAAGTCCAGGAGGCTGGGAAAAAGGGAGTAGAGGTCGGCGAAGGAAAGGAGGTCAAATGCTAGTGGGTAGAGCACGCACCTAAGTGGGCGGAGTTTGCCAAAAGTGTCGTAATTTGGTTCCAAGAGGTCCCAGAGACCGGTGAAAAAGGGGGTAGAGGTCGGCGAAAAGAAGGGAGCCAAATGCTATTGGTCGGCAGGGCACGCACCGAAGTAGACGGAGTTCGCCACGAGATTTATTGTCCGGGCCGAGGACCGAGAAAAATAGGATAATGGTTGACGAAGAAAGAGCGCATAGAATTTAGCGGAGAATTCAGATATTCGTATTGTATCAAGCCAAATTTGAAATTTTTCGTCGCACCATCAAAATTCGCCACAGATCTGTGTTGCGCGCGCAATGCGTGCGGCGCCAACTGGTAATATATTGATGTATATCTATTCTGGCCTCCGCTATCGTTAAAACCCACACGTTGTCACCAGTTTATGGGAGTATTTTTTGTTGAAATTCTGAAAACAGTCGCAAAATTTCAAAATTTTTCGGCCTTAGAACGTCTCAAAGTTACAGGTCTTTCCGGAATAATCACTAACTAATTTCTCCTGATGGAAACCACCACTTCAGGTCAATCACTATCTTCTACCAAAGATCCCCACGTTGCGTGGGGATGGGCTTGTTGCCAGCTCTGTTCTTTGGTTTCCCTTTGCTTCCGTTAAGGCAAATGAGGCGCGATGGTGGTGGGAGCTACGGTATGACGTAGGAGATGCATAGAGCGGTACTAATGCCTCCCTAGTGCGCTGGGATCTAGTCCACCAATAAGGTTCAGTGACGTCATCAAACCGCCCGCCTTTCAGCCATGGTGAACACTGCCTTTAAGTCTACCTATGTGACCACAGTGCATTGGCAGTCGGAAGGGCGTTAGATTTGCGTTAGTAATAGGACAATGTAGGCATGGTAAAAGTTGTGAGGACAAAGGAAGAAGGAATGTTTAGAGGGATGCCAGATTCCGGTATAGAGCGGAAGGATGATTCGGGGGAGATTAGAGGCATTCTGGAAGATTTGGATCAGTCGTGGGGTTGTAAGCATTCCTAGTATGTTAATGAAAATTTTGCTCTGCTGTATTGTGACATGCCATTATTAAAAGAAAAAAATAAACGCCAAAAAATTGAGCGAGGTAGAAAAAAATGTCAAGAGAACACACCATCACATGTTAGATCATCATCAGGACACATGCATCGTTCGAGCACACACACGAGACCATCACGACATTTGTAGGCATCAGAGCAGTGTTCACCGACGCCAAGGTTTCCGCTCTTGGACACACACGAGCCATCTTCAGGGACACTTCCGAAGTCACATACACATTGGCCGTTGACGCACACCGATCCTACTGTACAAGAATTCGCATCCGAGCAGGAAGCACCGGGTTCAGACCCTCTGTTTAGCGCGATGTCCTTCACAGTTTTCGTTCCTTTGACAATCCTCCATTTGTTCATATCGCTAGGCACACAGAAGTTACTTATCATTTTGTATTCGTCTTTACATGTGCAGATGTTGTCAGTGCAGACGGCATGCTCGGGACAGTGAGCGTCTTCCCTGCAGCTGGCCTCAGCTCTCTTGAGCACCAACCGTAAGCAGTAAGAGAAATTCCCATGACAGACACATTTCTGGTCCACACATCGGTAATGATCAGAGCAATCAGTGTCTAAGGTGCAATCCGGTCTGACAGGCCTTTTTCGTATGTCGTTTGTGACTCGGACACACTTCCCTTCGATGATCAGCTGACCACTGGGACAGGTGCAGACGTTGTCTCTGCATTCACTTCCTGCACTGCACATGTTCCCCGAATTACATCCATCACCTGGATGTTTGACCATCACGTTTGGGACACATTTTTCGCCATAAAGCTCGAACCTCGGCAGGCATACGCAGACGCCTTCGCCGCTACAGAAGGAATTGTCCTCACAGATGGCCTGACTTCCGCATTCACTGCCCGGACCCACGGTTTTCGGCACACCCAGTGCATGCTCCTTTTCCACACAACGACCCAGCTTTGAAATCCTGCCCGGTGGACAAACACATGCCTTGACCGAGGCGGCGCAGACCGCTCCATCGACACAGATCTGCCCGTTGCTGCAGTCGTCCCCGGGTCGAGCTGTGGTCACACAAATCCCGAGAATGTCATGGCGATTCTCGTCGCACATACAGATATTCTGTAGGCATCTGCTTCCACCTAGGCAGATCTCACCATTGCGACAACTTTCTCCTATCCCAGCCAGATTTGCGTTTCTTGGCACGTCGACACATTCATCTTCGAGGAAAATCCTGTTCGTTGGGCACTGACACACTAACCCCATTCCTTGAATATTCGAGCATTCCGAACCGCCAGTGCAGAACTCGAAATTCTGGCAGTTTTCCAGCGGAGCGGCAAACTGCCGCTCTTCAGCGAAGTCGTCCTCTTCTTGGCTTGAGATCCCCTCGTCGTTATTATGCCTTGGGTTCGGACTCATTCGTTTTCGAATGCTACAGATGCCGTTTCTCAGCGAAAGTATTCGGAGGACAACGACAAAACTGCTTCTGACAAAGGGAGTTGCCTATGCAAATGGAATCGTCGCCACAGAAATCGCCCGGCAATGAGACCTTCAGCTTCAGGAAGGCCTTTGCTGCTGTTTCGGGCAGCACATCTCCAGACCTGGTGTTGGCTCCCTTAGCGAATGGCATAGAAAAACCGGAAAATCTCTGAGCCTCAGGCAGAACTGGCGCCTGTGATGGCGCAGGCATTTGTTGCTGATTGAAGTTAGGGTAGTAGGCTTTTATCTGGGGCTTGGCTGGGAAGTTGAATGGAGGTTTCGAGAAATCCAGAGGAATGGTGGCTGATGAATAGACAGCAGGGACACTTGAAGATACCGTAGAGGTGAAGTAAGGCTCAACGGGTTTAAAGCTCAGATCCTTCATACTGCCAGTGGGAGTTTGACCAACCGGTACACAGAAATCATTAACCAGTTCATAACCAGTTTTACATAGACATAGGCCATTGTCACAGTAGCTGGATCCATAGCAGTTCCTTGATGTGACACAGCCAAGTCCCGGAGCAGCCAACGTACGTTCGCAACGCTCATTTGTTGTTGCCATACCACTTGGACATTCACAGACTCCACTGAATAGGCCACAGTAACTGTTGAACGAGCACACCTGCCCATGTGTGCAGTCCTCACCAGGATGGGCCAGCTGGGCACACGGCTTTCCTTGGTCCATCGGAGGAGTTACACAGTTGGCAGAAATAGGCTGGCAATACCCTGCGCTGGCGCGGAATCCAATCATGCACCTGCACAGCTGCTGGAAACAGAACGCATTGGCCGGGCACTCGTCCTTCGTCTGGCAAGTGTGGCCGAAAATTGTTTGAGGGACCGTTTCAGTTTGCGAAAAGCTAGGATTTGCTTTCAGCATTGCTTCAAAAGCTTCCAGTTCACCCATCATATCTAGTGCTGGCGTTATATTTGGCACTGAGGTGCTAGTAGGGAGCACCGGTTCGGGTTGATAAACGGGAGTTGTTGAGATCCCAGAAAGTTTGTCGAAGACAGGATAGACTTGCGACTTCTTGACGCACTTTTTGTTGACGTCTGGCACTTCGTCTTCGGGACATCGGCAGATTCCATCGATACAGCGCGATCCTCCGTTGCAAGACTGTCCGGGACCACATCTCTTCCCAGGTGTCACCATTTCCATTTCGGTCACAGTCACGCACTCCTTGCCGTTGTTGATGAGGTGCCGAGTGCATGTGCAGACACCGTAGAAGCAATGGGCTTCACCAATGCAGTCATACCCTTTACGAGGGTCGCACTTACCACCAGGCAGTACCTGATGGATCGCTTTCCTGCATGTGTTATCCACGATGGTCTCGCCTTTCTTGCAACGGCATACTCCTCTAACACATTGAGTCCGATAGGGACACTCAATAGTGAGCGCGCAGGCCGAACCGGGTTGGAAATGGTCCGGGCTTTTCTTTGCTGGTGCTGCATTGGCGCCATATTCCTTCCTCACTTCAGAGCATCTACCTGACTCGTCGATTGCGCCGTGCTCACATGTGCAGACACGATTGATGCAAGTGGATCCACCAGTGCAGTTTGTCCGGGCATCACAAGGCTGTCCAGGCGCGGCGACAAGCAGATTGTCAACGACTTCGTTGGCTTTTTCATGACTTCCCACACATTGGCCATTGATGATCACCTCCAGATCGTTGCACACACAGAATCCTTCTCGACATGTTGAACCACCGTTGCAGATATCTTTCTCGTGACACTCGAAACCAGGGCCTTTCAACGAGCCAACCTTGATAGGGGTTGTGACAGCCGTGGTTGATGAGATGGAAGTGAGCACGTTTTCCTCTCCTCACGCACCGTCCTTTAGATGTCACGTACTTCGCGACACACATGCACATCCCGAAACGACAGACACTCCCGTGAACGCATTTCTGACCGTTCTGACACGACTTGCCGGGTTCAGCACTGCCCATGACACACCTGCCGGTGTTGATGATGTGACCGTCAGGACAACGGCACAAACCGAATTCGCAGCTCGAGCCTCCATCGCATGTCTCCCCGTACGTGCATCGTCCTCCTGGGGACTGACGACAACGACCGTGATGTTCAGAAGAGCCGTCAACGCACTGGCAGACGTTAGCGCGACATGTCGATCCACCAGAGCAGCGATCACCCACTGTGCATTGGCCGTTGATGTTCTTGAAGGCACCGATCACGGACACGCAGATGCCGCTCTAGAATAAAAACTAATCAGTTTTCAAAAGAAATATCAATGTTATAAATGAAAATTTTCGTTGCTGCAAGTACACTAGTGCTTTCACGTGGCCTGCTGAGCACTACCCGCCGGCGGTCAGCGATGGGTTAAGGGCGGACTAGTCATGCGATCGGCTCCGTTTTTTATTACCAAGCACTGAAGGCATTGCTATGAAAATGAGCCCAGTTGCGCGCCGTCGATAATTAGAATTTGACCTGCGAAAGCGCCGAAGATCGAAATGTAAACAATTTTCATATCTATCATTTATCTTACCTTGCATACCTGCGAGGACAGACTATCCTTCTTCCCTCAAACATGGCACGCTTGCCGCCAAGGCACATAGCTGCCGCGCCACTTTAATTCTCAACCGAAATTCAAGCACGGCGAACATGTCTTTTTTCCTTCAGACACCCTCCCTGAATTCTTTCCACGCTATTTTAACACATAGGTAGGCCTTTGCAGCCCTATTGGAGATAAGCTGAAAGGACTAAAAATGATGACAGCCGTTTCGTGGGACACCCAAAGCGCGAGCCCAAAATTCCGGGCTATAGAGTGGGCTTCCTTTTCCGTGCCGTTTCCCAGGACGTACACATGCATGCCGACTCCCTTAAAGGATTCTCCGAACACGTCTATGACCTTGATCAGTAAAAAGGAAGACAAATAAATATACCATTTTCAGGATAAAACCCCCGTGGTTTTCAAAATCTATTTTCAGAACCAACCTCCGCATAGAAAAACCAAAGCCCTTTTTCCCTTATAATCATTCTTTAAAAAAAGGTGGCACAGGGCCTTTGAGCCCTGACGCCGTTTTGCATCCGCGGCATTGAATGCAGAAAATTGCTTCTTTTTGGAACGATCACTTTCTACGATACGTTTTTCAGAGAAGTACCCGAATACGGAACTGTTCTGATGGAATCTCTGGGATGGATGGGCTCATAGATGCAAATGTCTGTTTTGGCATGCTTGACGCTAAAGGGCGGAATATCTCCCCTGACAGTTCGTTTCTCCTCTGACGGTAATGGACCTACAGATGAAATTCTTCTTCATGTTTTCATGGCTCACTGTCCATTTGTAAAAATCAGTGCTTGAAAGAGAGAGGTTATCATTTTTTTCGCGGAACTCTGACCCCAGCAAACAGGTGGCTAAAAACCAAAGCCAGTTCCAGCGCCAGTTCATATTATAAAAAAGGAAACAGAAAAAAATTGAAGCTTTAGGAATCACCTGAAGAATGAATCCTTCATTACAGTGGCATCTTCCCGCAACACATCGTCCATTCTGACATTGCCGATCCGTGGTACAACGCCCGTCACTGTATCTGGGCCCAGTGTGAAGGTTCTCACGATCACAGCCGCCAGGGACGGCACATACGCAGACACCGTTGGTACAGATGGCATTTTCCATACATCGCGGTGAAACGTTGTTCGGGTCACATTTCTCATTGATTCGGACGAATTCTGGAGCACAGACGCCATCCGCTTCGACGTATCCATTAATGCAGTGGCATACGTTGTCGATACACACACCATTCCCGGCACTACACTGAGCCGCTCCAGGCCAGCATACCATCGACTGCTCGACATTACGTTTACGACGTCGACGTGACACGTCCGCAATCACACACGACACACCATCGGCACATTCACAACGGTTATTAACACACAGTTGAGGTGGTTGACATGCTGGATCACAGGGAGAGCTCATTGACTGAGGGGTTGAGCTATTTGTACAGACGTCGTCAATGACTGAGTAGGGAGGAGGACAGAGACACACATGGTTAGTACATACGAAGCCTTTAGAACAATTCTGATGAACACCGTCGAGGTAGCCGCACTTCTCGTTGGCACGTGCTTCTTCTGAAATAAAGGTTAGATGGTGTTTTTGTTAGTGGTGTTAACAAGGAAATGTTAGAAGTTAGAATTCCTTAATTTTGATTTTTATGGACCATTCCGCGATCGAATAAGTAGGGTGTTATAGCGCTTGAAAATGAATATCTAACAGTAGCAAAAAAAACTGCCAAAAATCTTCGAAAAACATTGCGCGCCAATGGTGGGCGGAGCTTGCCGCCCGTCCCTACGGCAGTCTCATTGGTTAGCCGCCCTTCTGATACAGTGAGTTCAGTAGACGGATGGGGCGTACCAATGATAGTCCTTCAGGGCGGAGCTTAGTCTCCCGCATATGATCGGTGCGCAACGTGATTTCGCGAATTTTTGACAGTTTTCTTTGTTTTAGTTCATCACTGGCTCAACTAGCACAACTACTTTGATTCGCAGACACTATAATCCCCATTTTTCAATCGTAAAATTTGCCCTTCACGCCTATATTTACGAAAGTAGAACAGGGATAGGATACAACAGAGTTACGGTAGTAATTCGAGCGATTCGACGGTTTTCAGGCTACCATCACCGAATCTTCTGAGAACTAGCCTAAGGAGCGCTGAGAATGGATCTATTATTCCATGACAGGGATGAAGCTAACGGCGTCGAGCACGGCCAACAATCACGCTCTTAAAAATTTCGAGAACGGAACGACTCCTGTAGGAGGAAGAGGTCCCTCACACACCCCTTGCTTCACTGCTCATCTCTAAAGTTGGATGGTGACGATAATGTCGTTGAACCTGTTATTACTTGACACCCAACCCGCCCCCGAAAACTCCAAAATTGCCTTAGGCGGGGAGGAGCACACACAGCTTTTGAAACAGCGAATGCTACGCATTCCTCGTCCATTTCGTAGGATTTTTGCAGAGCTTTTCCTCCTATCCGAAAGCGACCTCCTTCCTCGAAACACAACCCTGCCCCTTCCATCACCACGACCCCCTTCAGTACCACAAGTACGAAACTATTCTAAAAGTCACAAAGACAACGCCACTTCTTGTTAAACAGCTGGCCCTGGTCCGGAGTGATCTAAATATGATTCGAGTGGTTGTAAGGGCGCCATGAGATACCGCACATGTGGCGGGCCTTGTCGCGCTTGAGGTACGTATGTACAGTGTGCAGCAGAAATGCTCAGCGCGTGCCGCGCGCGACCGAAATTTCCCGCACTTTGTGTGAACCCTTAAAATCATGCGTAGGGCCACATGTTTGAGCTGTACGTATGGGTTGCTTCTACTCTACTCACGTTTTGTGCCGCATTTATGATTAGCGC